TATGTGGCCAGTACATGGAAAAAGTGGACTTTTAGAGCTAGACTAATCCTTAGGACTAGAATGTAGGAATTAAAACTTGACTGTGGCTTTAAAATGGCCGCTACTGCTAATAATATTCATGCTAGCACTGCTGTTTTCCAAGCACTCGTTATGCGTGAGAACACAGGAAGAAGCACTCTTGGTCCTTGTCTCATTAAAGCTGCACAACACCTCTGAGAAGTCAAGTTCTTATTGCCTTTTTTCCAAGGAGGAAACTGAGGCTCAGAGAGGGCTGACTGCCCAAGGTCACACAGCGAATAGCTACACAGTCAGGGTATGTGAGGAAGCTCTCTCTGTGCCCATGATATTCCCAGTTCCCAGCATGGTCTGGCCGGAAGCCCCCGACCTGCCTGCTGTCCAGCCCAGGGGAGAGCAAGTCCCTGCAAAGCCACCCTCACAGTGCATTGAGCGGGACCCAGCCAGAGCCTCAGCTGCCTCGCTTGCAAGATGGGATTTGGGGAAGGGGCAATGCTTTGACTGTCAGTTTTCTGTTGTATCAAATGGGACAATTAGCATGCAGAGCCTGGCACAGCGCAAGGGTTGGGGATTATGGCCTTCGATGACTTCTCATTTTCACCGGGTACAGAAGGTGTCTGTCTCCTCAGCAGGCCTGGGTGCTGTCAGAGGGGCTGATTTCCCATGGGCCCAGGTTTCCAGCTGTGGCAAGTGCTAACATTGGCTGCTAACATTGGCTGCGGAAGACAGGTCACCCCGTGGGCTTTGGGTCTCAGTAGGGACCTTTCACAGACACATTTCCTCATTTCTTCCTCCCTGGCCTTCTTGCCCACTCACTAGGGCCTCCCATCCTCCTGGCCACCTCCAGATTACTATTGACCCTCCTGAGTTTCTGACAGACTTCTGGTCTTTCCCAAACTGGCAAGTTTCACTGCACCCCAAAGCAAACAGTCACTGCACCACCTGGTGGCTCCATCTGCAAATTTCACATTCCCCAGAACCCAGAATCCGCTGTGAGCTGAACTTTTTTGTATACATCACTTCTTCAGTTTTACACCGTTGCCCTGCAAGGAGGAAGGTGCTGTAGTTTTTCACACGGGGAACCTGAGGCTCCACAGGGCACCTGAGGCTCCACAGGCTCAGACTGGTGCCCCTGGGCTTCTGGGGTTAGGCAGGTTCCGGGATACCATCTTAACTTTTAAAAATTATAAAGTATGTCAACATATAAGAGAATATAACAGACATCTTATTCATGTAAGATGATTACCCAGGTTTAAAAGATGTTAACTTTTGGTTCAGATCTTTCTTTTGAAGAAATAAACAAATACTCCTCAATTCCTTTCTCTCTCTCTTTCTCTCTTCCTTTCCCAGTGGCCACCAGTAGATGACAAGTGCATCATTCCCACGCTTCTTTTCATACCTATCCAAACTTTGTGTGTACCTCCACAAGGTATATAGTATTCTTTTATGTGCTTTAGAAATTACTGTAATAGGAATCACTTTCTTTTTTTTTTTGAGACAGGGTATCACTGTGTTGCCTGGGTTAGAGGGCCGTGGTGTCAGACTAGCTCACAGCAACCTGAAATTCTTGGCCTCAAGCGATCCTCCTGCCTCAACCTCCCAAGTAGCTGGGACTACAGGTGTGCACCACCGACCTCAGCTAATTTTTTCTATTTTTAGTAGAGATGGGGTCTCACTCTTGCTCAGCTGGTCTCAAACTCCTGACCTCCAGCAATCCTCCCACCTCGGCCTCCCAGAATTCAAGGATTACAGGTATGAGCCACCTTGCCTGGTCAGAATCACATTGTTAGTATCCTTTTGTAACATTATGTTTTTATGATTTATCTCTTTTGGTATGTGTGGCAGGCAGAATAACAGCCCCCGAAAGAGGCCCATGTCCTAATCCTTAGTACCTTCGAATAGGTTACTTTACATGGTAAAAAGGACTTTGCAGATGTGATTACATTATGATTTTGAGATGAGATTATTCTGGGTTATCTGGGTGGGCCTAATGTATCACAAAGGTCCTTATAAGTGAAAGAGGGAGTCAGGAAAGTCAGAGTCCAAGTGATGTGATGTGAGAAAGACTCAACCATGGGCCACTGCTGGTTTTGAAGATAAAAGAAAGCCCTGCACCAAGGGACATGGACAGCCTCAGGAGCTGGAAAAGACAGGGAATGGCTTCTCCCTTAGACCCTCCACAGAGGAACACAGCTGTGCTGACACCTCAACTTTAGCTCTGTGAGAACTATTTCAGAATTCTACCCCCAGAACTAGAGACAATAAATCTGTATCATCTTGGGCCACTGAGTTTGTGGTAATTGGCTACAGCAGCAAAAGGAAAGGAAGACAGTACTTATCAATGACAAGTCAGTTCTCATAAAAGATGAGTGAAAGCTGAAAGACAGGATCCAGTTTAAAACAAAACTCAGTTCACACAAATGAGGTGGACTTTGCTCAATTAAATTAAATGAGGTAACTCTGAAAGACTTTTTGAAAATAATAATGCTAATTGACTTTTATTCTTTATGCCAGAAACCTAATTGTTATTATTGGGGCCAATTGGGGGAAGTTTTGTTTTTTATTGTTTCCCTTTGCTTCCATTAGAAGGGGTTTTTTTTGTTCCAATTTTGCTTCCTTTTTCCAAAATTTGGTTTTTTGTTAAACCAAAAAGGGATTCCTTTTTTAAAAATTTGAATTTTGTTTACTTGTGGGTTGTATTTTTAAAAAGTTTTTTTCTGCCAATTGATGTCTATTTTAATTGTTAAATATACTTTTAATGATATTTCTTCTGCTCGTGCATTTGGATTTATTTTGCTACACAGGTTTAAGATGATTGTCCTTTTCTTTTAGTTTTTGTTTTTTTTTAACTACCTTTGGAGAAGGGACGTTCTGCTTTCTGTTGGGTCTTGTTTTGTTCTAAATAATTTTGGTAAAGAGCACGTTTTGGTATTTTTTGCGTTCGTGTTTTTGTATTCTAATGTTACTATCTTACCAGTTTTTGGTCTATTTTCATTTTTTTTCTTATATTTCTTTTTAACTATTTTATGAAATTTTTTTGGCGTTTTTTTTTTTTTCTCATTCCCCTTTTTCTTGATTTTCTGTGCGTTTTTTATTGTTGATTTTTTTGATGTCTTTTTGCTAAGTATCTTGTGCCTGTGTGTTTGTTTCATCTTTTTTCGTTTTTTTGTTGTTTGGTTATGCTGCTCTTGCCTGTAAGTTCATCGTGTCTTGTTTCTTCTATTTCTTGACTGACTCTCATGATCTTGACTGGCAGTAGCAGGTGGTGAGGATTTTTTTGCTTTTTCTTGGCTCTCGGTGTAGTTATAGGCTGATGCATTCTTTGATGTGTCTTTTATGTTTTCTTGTTTTTTGTTGAAGTTACATTCATGTACCTTCTTTATTGTGATTTAGATGTTTACAATTTTTTCTTTCAGTTAAGTTGTTGTAACACAGAAATAGTCATTTTAAGTTTTCTATTTCGTTGGCTTTTGTTCCTTTTCTTTTTTTTTGCGGCCAAAACCTTTTTTTTAAAAAATTTTTTTTTTCCATCTTTCTTTACGTAGTTATTTATTCACTTATTTTTAATACATCATTCCTATAACGACTTCAATCATTTCAGCAAAAAGAGGCCAAATATCAAACAACTATCAAGCAGTGACAATTCTTTGTCTTTTCTGATGCCAACAAAGACTTCCAAATCCTTTCAATGGAAAAAGTCAGCAGAGATCAAAGGGGCTCTTAATGTTACTGACGAGAAAAATGCATGCTTTCTTTACACATTTTTAATAAATCAGGAATGCTGAAAGATCTACAGGGTGGATAATGTTCCATAGGCTTTCTAGGAGACAACAGAATTTCCAGGGTAAATTTGAAAGGTATTAAGTGACATTAGCAGTAATAATTATGAGCTGGTGTTTGTATTTTTTAGTACTATATAATTTGGTCTTGCACTTCTTTGTCAATTAGCAACTTCAAATATAAGACCCAAATAACTGGAAAAGCTAATTAAGTGATTTACTATAGTTCCTTTGAATATAGACACTCTCAAATACTTACGAGATTTCACCTATTAAAGTAAAGTACTTTCTCTTCTTCTTCCTTGGATCTCCTCCTGCCAGCGCCTCCGATTATAGAAGCTAAAAGTCATCTGGCAAGAGAGCCTGGGACTCCCAGATCCCACACCCAAGAGAATTTGCAGACTCCCAGCCTTAACATTACAGAGTCAAGCAGAAACGAGCCCTTGTGTAGGTGAGAGATAACTGGCCAATAATTGGCACAGCCCAGCTCTTGACTGCTCAGCATTTATGCCCTTCAATACACAGATAAACATCCATTCAACAAGCCTCATGCTTTTGCTTTACAAGATGCAATTATACTTTGCACAAATAAAGATACTCTCACTCTCTCCCTGAAAAGGGGAAACCTAAAGCCCCATCAGCCACTGTATCCTGCTCTGGGTGATATTAATTCCTGCCTGGATAATCTGTAACCCAAAGACCAAATTGTAAAGTTAATCACCACCTATGCTCTTATCAATGCAGACCATGTCTTTGGCCATCTGTCCATCCAGGAAGGCTGGCCCAGGGTTTCCCTTTCCTGTTGGCTCTCAGGCATGGTCTACATGGTCTACATGTGAAACTAAGCCCAAGTTTGTCTGGGTGTTTCCTCAATGAGCCAGTCATAGAAAACTCCCCATTAGAACTAGGTTCTAGGGGCCATAACATACCATCTCACAATCCTTACCTAAATTTTAGTAAAATGAATGATACCATTTTTCACCTAAGTACTTACACCCTTGAGCTCCTACATAGTCATTGGTTCTACTTGAATGAAGATAAAGAGAAATGGAGCATATTCAAAAACCGTAACTTTGCACCCGCTGAAAAAGAAAGGGAGGAACTAATTCCAGAATTTCCTGAATTTTTCTCTGTGACCTCCTATTCTGGGTACCACAAGCCTCTTCACGGCAAAGGACCGGGACCTCTCACGGGGTCCTTCCTTACCTGCTGCTCATCAAGAGTCAGTCCCTCCTGTGTGACAGCTAAGTCCGTCCTTTCCTTCTGGTCACTCCGTGATGCTCAGATTTGTGCCGAGGTGGCGCCCGCGAATATGACCGCAGCCAGAGTGGAAGCCGCAGGAGCACGTGGAGCCTGAGGTGAATCTCTGCAACTATCTCAGGGCCTGCTTCGGCCGATAAAATGGCGAATGTCCGCAGGCGCAGGCCAATTAGGGCCTCCCGCATTGGAATGAGGCGGTCTGGAATACACATTCTGATTGGATGAGAAAAACCTCAGAGTCCAATTCTGATTGGATAATCCAATCCAAAGGACATTTGAAAAGAGCAACCTAATAGACCAATTCTGATTGGATAATGTCACCCAATGAGAACGGGTATTTCAGAGCAACTCATTTGAATACAGGGGGCTACATATAGCCAGCCCAGGCAGGCCTGCTCCTGCCATTTTCTCACCTGGATCCTGCAGGGAATTATGCATGTGTGTGGAAGGGCTGGTGGTTCCTCTGGCTCGAGACTCCACGTTTGGTTTGTACTGGGTCCTAGAGATCTGCATTGCTGGGGCCACTGTGGCTGGCACTGCCTTGGAACCTCCTGGGAATGGAGTGTCCTGCTGTGAGCTACAGGCAAGAAGGAACACAGTTGGCATGTGGGAGGGACCTGGACCTGACCATGCTGCAGTGAGAGGCAGTAAGGACGGATCCAGCTGGTACATGGGAGGGACCCAGCTTTTGGTACACAGAGGACTTGGGGATCTGGAATGGGCACCTGAGTGGGGAAGGGGGCACCACGTGTGAGTGCAGTGTATCTGGGTTCTGCTGCTGCTCCTTCCCATAGCAGTTGGTGTGGTGCCTGGGTGTGAGGACACAGCCGGGAGTGATGTCCCCAGTCCCTGACCTTAGGTGGACCCCAGTCCTTCATTGGCTTTGGCTAAAGCCAGGGGGGAGCTTTGCAGAGTGTGTGTGAGGGCATCAGGTGAAACTCAGGCTCTGCGCTCCAGGGGCAGGTGTGAGGTGACACCTACCACATCCTCCACTCTGCTTTCTTGCCCTGTGGGCTGAGGTGTCTGTACCCAAAGGTGCACCTGCAATGCCATGTGAAGGTGAGGGATGGATGTTCTAGGGCTGTGTCCTAGTTGTGTGGGGCCACTGGCCTTCAAAGTCCAGAGGAATGGGGAGAGTGTTCCAGGAGGGGCCCCAAGGAAAAATGTCAGAGATATCAATTGTCAAACTTAGTACTTTAGGAAATTGGACGTTTGTACTTAATAATCTAATATTGTATTTAGCTCAGTATATTCCAAATAATATCATTTGAACAAGTGAATAATATAAAAATGTTAACGAGATATTTTACTTTCTCTGTTCTCACTGAGTCTTCAAAATCTGGTACATATTTTTTACACCTGGAAAACATTATGTATTTTTCTATAATATTTAATGCATGTCTTTAATTGTTTTAAATGTATAGCACAAAGATTCATTGAAAAGAAGATAAGTTGGCATATTTACAATTATCTCAGGTAGCATCAAAACTATCACAAAGTCGATTGGGTGTGGAAGAGACATATTACTACAACAAATTCTAACTGAACTTATTATTAGCAAAATGGATTAGTTAGGCACATGGACACATTAACAGTAATTTTTACAGTAACCAGCATATCCACATTATTTTCAATGACTAGAAAAAAGTTCTTGAGAATTGCATGCTTTTAGGCTTCAAAGATGTCAATAACGGCTTGAAAGCGGAAGTCCTACAGGTTGTATTTTCTTTTAATTGTGAAATAAGGTCATTAATTATGAAATGTCCGATTTTGAGTCGAAAGTGCACTTTATTATATCTGAAACCGGAAGCAGCACAGTTAATCACAGTATGCACCCAAACTATTGACAGCTTTGCTGTTTTAACAGCAGCTTGTGTATGTCAGCAACGAAGAAGCCTGGAGAGCAAGTAGCAATTAAATCATGAAAGGCGTTTTCCATAGCTTGTTGACATTGGAATGTTTTTCCTTGAAAATAGTGGTCCAAACCTTGGAAGAAGTGTTAGCCAGTTGCTGCAAGGTCTGATGAATACAGTTGATGACAGAGAGTTTCCAAGTCCTGTAGTTTGTGCAGAATTGTTTGTGTAAGATGTGATTGAGCATTATCTTTCAAGAGAATTGACCTGTCACTATTGACCAGTCTCGGCTGTTTAATCACAAGCATCGCATCATTTCATTCAATTGGTTGCATTAGACATCTGCTGTAATTGATTGACCAGGTTTCATGAAGCTGTAGTGGATAATGTAAGTGCTGGACCACCAAATACACACCATTAGCTTTTTTGATGAATATTCAGTTCTGCGGTTTGTTTTGGCATATCATCTTTATCCAACCATTGTGCCAAAAGCTTGTGATTGTCAAAAAGAATCCATTTTTCATCACGTCTAACAATACAGTGTAGAAATGCTTCATCTTTATATCGTGGTAGCAAAGAAAGGCAAGCTTCCAGGCGATTTCTCTTCTGATGTTTTTTTAATTCACGCGGAATCTACCTATCCAGCTTCTTTACCTTGCCAATTTGTTTCAAGTAGTCCAATATTGTTGGAATAATAACATCAAATCTTGCTGCTCGTTCACCTGTAGGTTGAGATGGACTCTCTTCCACTACAGCTTTCAGCTCATCATTATCTACCTCGGTCTCACGTCACCCATGTGGCTCATTTTCAAGATTAAAATCACCAGAAGGGAACTTCTCATATCATCAATGTACTATGCGTTCGTTAGCATACTGTGCGTTCATTAGCCGCATCTTTCCCAAACACTTTGTTGATATTTTGAACTGTCTGAGCTGCACTGGTTCCACTAAGGAACTCATGTTCAAAAGTAACACGAATTTTTTACTTATTCGTGGTTTCACAGAAATTGCTCTAAAAAAATTTGACATTTGACAAGCCAAAATGTGCATTTGCAAGACTGAGGATGTACCTTCACGATAAGAATAAAACAAGAAGTGTCAAAGTGAAATGTCAGAGATATTGACAACTTGGTAGTTAAGGAAATCGGACATTTCATACTTAATAGCCTAAAATACAATTACTTTACCAGTTTGTTTTTACTATTTTAAAACAACAGAAGGGGGCCAGAAAGGAGAGAAAGTCAACAGGTCTCAACAATTATGTAGGGGAGAAAGGCCCAGCCTGGTCAAGGTTGGAGCAGATGGTGAGAAGAGAAGGGGACGGACTTGAGAGCTAATTTGAAGGCAGAATAGGCAGGACAGGGATGGCCTTGAGGATGGCATACTGTCCTGTGAGAGAATGCACCTAGTGAGAACAACACGGAGAAGGGACCCAGGGATGGGGTCTCAGGGAGATGAACTTGGTTTTGGACATGCTGAGTTTGAGGTGTCTGTAGGTCACTGAAGAAGTAGCTGAATGCATGCTCCTCCTCGTCACCATGCTTCTTGTACAGCCTGCAGAACCATGAGCCTAATAAATCTCTTTTCTTTATAAATTGCCCAGCCCCAGGGATTCTTTAATAGCAATACTAAACAGACTAAGATAGATAACACTCTGGAAAAGGCAAAACTATGGAGATGTTAAAAAGATCAGTGATTGCCAGAGGTTCGGGCGAGGGTGAAGGGTTGAAAAGGTACAGCACATGGGATTTTTTAAGGAGTGAAACTATTCTGAATGATACAACAATGGTGGACATAGGACAATAGGTGTTTGTCAAAACCCACAGAACTTTACAACGCAAAGAGTGAATCTTAATATATGCAAATTTAAAAACATCACTTAGGAACACACAACATTTATCAATTAAGTTTGCCGTCTTATTTGGGTGTGGTTTGTAGCACTCTAAAACAAATACAATAATAACATCAAAGATCACTGATCACATATCACCATAACGATTATAATAATAATGAAAAAGCTTGAAATATTGTGAGAATTATCTAAATGTGACAAAGAGACATGAATTGAGCACAAGCTGTTGGAAAAATGGTGCCCATAGATTTGCTCAGTGGAGGGTTGCCACAAACCCTTTGGTTAAAAGCCCAATATCTGTGAATTGCAATAAGGCAATGCACAGTAAAATGAGGTTTGTCTGTAAATTGGTTAGGATATTCCTAAAAATGTCCTTCCATTAAGAGCCAGCTCTGATGCCTTTTCCTGCTTGTTTTGAGTCTGGCGGTTTCTTGATCCTACCAGGAGGTGGCGACAACTTGATTACAGTTGCCACCCAGCCAACGGTAACCACAAGATGCACTTGACCTCAGAGATATTAAAAATGAGGGGACAATGTGCGCAGAACTGATCAAGTGGCATAGTTTTATTCCAAAGTAAAGGTATGTTAGGTTATTTTTAACTTGACCATTGTAGCTTTTAATTTTAAAAGCAGATCATTAACTCTCTGAATCTGCTTATTGACAATTAAAATGTTGAAAATACCGACTTCCTGTATATGTATTCACTAGAGCAGGTTCAGGACAATACCAACTTCCTAATAAGAAAAATGCTGTTACTATTCATTGAATATATATTAAAGTGAATACAGCTTTCTAAATAAAAGTTAAAAACCAGTGTTTTTTTGGCAAGTAACTTTCTCTGAGATGATGATTTAAAAAATTTAAAGAAACATTTTAGAATACATATATATATTACATAAAAGTTGTAGATAGTAAAAAGTTGAATAATTAACAAGTCAGTCCTTTACCTTTTACCAAAAGCATTACAAACTTGCAGCTTTTCTACTGAACTCCAGTCTTGGTGACAGAGTAAGACGCTGTCTCTCAAAAAAAACCTTGCAACTTTTTGTTCTATCTGGGATTTGGCAAGTCCAAATGAAATATTATAACACACGCACACGTACAACCAAGCTATAAGCTATGTAACTGCAGTAAATAGATCAATATCCGGGCAGATCTCTCAGGCCCAAGTTACTTAGCTCCCTTGCTGATTCTCGGCCCCTAAGGCTTTCTGACTCTGATTTGGTTTCTCAACCCTGCTGGGAACAAAATGTGAAAAGTTAAGTACACTCTGCACGTATAATTCTTAAGCAACAGTTCTATTTCTTAGTATTCTATAGTGCTACAGGTCCCAAACTGTGAGCCGAGATGCCCCAGACACCTGCAGCAAGATATTTTAAGTTTTTAAGGGAAACACTGCAATACTTCACATATATTGAACATCGCAAGAACTAT